ATAAGCTAGCTATCCTGGCTTTTCTTTGAAAACCCCAGTGATTTCTTCTCTGGAACATAAAGGCCAAGACACGCATCACCATGAGGAGGCTGTTTGCCTCTCCCCAGGATTAAGTGGGCGAAGCTCAGACAGTACAGAAATATTATGACTGCCTGGGGGCATGAAGGAGGCGGGAGCAGGAGTTAGGTGAACTTTCTCCTGCTGAATGGGAAGGTTGTCTGAAGGCTGCTGAGCTCCACTTTCCCACCAGCCCTGTGGACCTCTAAATAAAGAGCTTCAGTGTCCCCTCCTCCCCACATGGTTGGGAATTAGGGAGTGTCTTCTCACATGCCACCTCCCGCAGTCATCAGAGCAGCTTCCATTCACATCTGCTGTCACCCTTGTGGCCCCCCAGTCTAAGGACAGTGCCACCTGCCTGGGTAGACCAAAGGAAGGGTGTGTGGGAGAACCTCCTTGCCTTTTCTGTTATGCGGACTCTAGAATAAACCTTGATCAGTGAATAATTGAAAGTAAGCCAGGCCCTGCCGTTTAATAGGCTTTAATTTCCTCTATTAAGTGGAGTGCGTAGTGACCCTGTGACTACGGGGTCCACAGTTGTCCTATCTTTATGCGGCTGATTTTCTTGAGACCACGCCATCTGCAGATTTGTATTTGATAAGTGAACAAGAGGTATTGTCATCCCCAGTTTATACCTAACAAACGAAACTTCTCCCTCAGGCCTTGGTATTCAGCCATCATCTGCCTAGGCAGTCATCAAACATCTCAACAAAGAAGCGGACAGATTATCTTGATACACCGTCCCCTCCCCGCTTCCTCAAAGCAAAGGTTTCCAAGGGGAGAGGACTGTGTGGGTCAGTGAGAAACTTCATTCCTGGCTGTGGGGTAACTGCAGCAAAAATCAGTTGTAGCTCCCTCAGCAGAGCCCAGAGTGGAAGGGGAGTTGTACTCACTGCCCATCATCTCAGGCCACGACTCACATTTCTTTGGATGCTTCTGTTGTATCGTAGTGAGGCTGGCAGAAGGGTCATCTGTGTCATTGCTGTAAATGTATAAATCAAAACAGAGGTTTACACGAAAGGAAAGAAGCCCAAAGCAGTGCGGGGCCCACCTTGGAAGGCAGCAGAGAAGGTGGTTATCCTGTGAAGTGAGATTACGAGCAAAACCTTGGAAGAGTCCTTCTCTCTCTCTCCTTCTCCCCCTAAGACACTAAACATCCCTCTTATCACTGATAACCAAATCCTCCCATTGGTAATTCATTTAATGGGACTGAGAATAGCTCCCACTTTGACACTTTCCCTCACAGAGGTCTTATACCTGATCAGGCCTGGAGCATCTATGTCCCATCTGGCTCCAGTGTCTCTCTGTTGCTTTTCTGTTCAGACATGCAGCCTACTCTCCTTTTTTTCTTTTTTTGGAGACAGAGTCTCATTTTGTCACCCTCAGTAGAGTGCTGTGGGATCACAGCTCATAGCAACCTCAAACTCTTGGGCTCAAGCAATCCTCTTGCCTCAGCCTCCCAAGTAGCTGGGACTACAGGCACCAGCCACAATGCCTGGCTATTTTTAAAGATGGGGTCTCACTCTGGCTCAGGCTGGTCTTGAACCTATGAGCTCAGGCAATCCACCCGCCTCAGCCTCCCACGTGCTAAAATTACAGGCATGAGCCACCAGGCCTGGCCTAGCCTACTCTCCTTTTAAAGTTCCCACCATCAACTCCATCACTCAGGGCTGTCCCCACCCCCACCTCACAGACTACCTAAGAAGCAAGGCACCTCTCCTCCAACTTCCCACCTCACTGTAAAAGCCCCCCTATCGAGGTCGTTTGCCACCAATCAATAAACCAGGAAATAACAAAAATTACAGACATGAAGTAAACTGCCGAGCAATCTAGAAGCCTTTCCAAGGCGTTGGTTGCTCTGGCCTGCGGTGCTGAGTCCTGAGACCTCAGGGCTCTTGTACCCCTCGTTTGTCCCCAGGCTATTCAGCTGGCTGTGCCTTCACCTCCCTCAGTCCCCCCATGCATCTCCCTTGCTCTGCTCCTTGGAAGGTTCAGTGGAGTTGGACACTAGATGCTTTATTCATTCTCTCAACCAGTGTTTACTGGGTGCCCACCAGGTCCCAGGCACTGCTCCAGGGAATGTGCTGGAGATCGTAGTCTTTATTCTTACTGTGCTTACAGCCCAGGGAATAAAAACAGGCAAACAAATTAACAAGTGAGCCCATAACCATTCAGTGACCGAAGGTGACAAGTAGTGGCTGTGGTCAAAGGTGGCAGGAGGGGCCTCTGGGGCAAAGGAGTTGATGCTGCAGAGCAGGTAGAGGGAGCCGCAGGCATGAAGTGCCGTCTGGAGAGGGCTGCATGTATCTGAGGAAGAGAAGGAGGCCCAGCGGCAGCACAGCGCAGGGGAGGTGACATGATAGGTTCCAGGGACAAGCAGGGTTTATAGTAAAACATTTGTTTTGACAATAGATTGAAGAGGCTTTAAGCCATGGAGGAGCATGATCTGATACATACTTGTGGAAAATCACTGTGGCAGGGTATGAAAAAATTGGAGGTGCTTGGTCACCTTTTCGGAAAGAGTGCACTGAAGGACTGGCTGGCGTCACCTTGTTGTAAATTGGTGATTCACAGCTGAGGGAAAGATGACACCCATCTCTGCATAACAAGGCTTCCTGGGGGAACCAGAAGTCTGGTCATACCTGCTTGCACACTAGGGCCAGGTGCAGGAACTAGTGGGGCAGGAGCAGCACCAGCGGCAGGAGAGGCCAGAGCACCAGTGGGAGATGCAAACCGACTTCTCTCTCCACCTCGATGGACACCTTGGACCCGTGGAATCTCCTTGTGTGAAAATTCTGAGATGGGCTTTCTTTTTTCTTTTCTTTTTCCTTCCTTCCTTCCTTTTTTCCTTTCCTTCTTCCCTTCTTTTTTTCTTTTTCTTTGAGACAGAGTCTCATTTTGTCACCCTGGGTAGAGTGCTGTGGTGTTACAGCTCACAGCAACCTCAAACTCTTGGGCTCAAGGGATACTCTTGCCTCAGCCTCCCAAGTATCAGGGACTACAGGCACCCGCCATAATGCCTGGCTATTTTAAGAGATGGGATCTTGTTCTAGCTCAGGCTACTCTTGAATCTGTGAGCTCAAGCAATCCACCCACTTCCACCTCCCAGAGTGCAGAGTGCTGGGATTACAGGCACGAACCACTGCGCCGTGCCCTGAGATGGGCTTTCTAACATACCACTTAAATCTAGCTTCCATTTCCAATATGGTTTATTGAAGAGAAATCTCTGGACATCACTTACTTCCCTGTAGTAGCCAAACCGTATGAAGTTAAGAGTGATTGGGACAGGAAAATGTATCCAAAATGTTTCTTGTATCAGTACTGGAGACCCCACAAGAAGTGTGGCTGAGTGTGACTAATGGGAATCCGGCTGAAAATGACTGAGCTGTTGTCCCAGCCAGCTGTGTTCTCCCAACACCAGGCTCCAGGCAACACCTCTGCGCTTGGGATGCTACGCAGTCTGCTCGGCAGTACCACCAGAAGTGTCTGGGAGGCGCCTCCACCCCAGCCCCTGCCGTCTTTCCACAGGGCGTTTGCCATTTGCCAGCAGAGAGAAGCTGGAAGACTTCCAGAGGAAAGCTAAACAGGAAGCATATCATTTCCAAGGAGTGGACAGATCACTTTCAATCAGACCGCTGGGCTCTAGTAACAATTCCAAAGCAATTCTCAGAGAAACACTCCCCCTAGTCAGCTAAGAGGATTTACTCCTACTGCCTCACCTAGCAAAGCTACACAGAGACTACTGAGTCTGTTCCTAGGCTTAGCTCCTCTCCAGGATCCCAGAATCCAACTTTCAGCTGTCAGCTTGTTATTTCCTGGATACCCCACCAGTGTCTTGCAGTCAACGGGTCCCAAACCGGTTCATCATTTTCCCTCTCCTGGCTTTCCTGTTTCTCTGGATGGTAACACTGTTCCCTCTGCTACCCTGGCTGGAAGTCTGCGTGAGTCATCCCTGACTCATCCCTCTCTTGTATTCTCTATATCAAATCGACTGCCGAATCCTGTAATATCTATTTCCGTGATGTCACTTGAATCTGTCCCCTCCTTCCTATTGCCACCATCCCTCCTCGGTGTGGGTTGTCATTACTTCCCTCTTGATGGGATCATCCTAACTTATTCTTTACTATTAACTCATCTTCACGGTGCTTCTGACTTAAAGCCTCCTCAAGCCCTGATCTAGTCACGTCTCCCTCCTGCCAGCATTCTGACACAGCTCCTCACTGCTTCTACATGCAACATAAACTGTCTTTTAGCCTTACAAGCCATGACTCCTTTTCCAGTAGTTCATGTTCAAGCTCACTTTACTGATTACTGCTGTGGCACATGACTTTTTTCTTTTCTTGAATCCCTTTAATATTTAAATGATCTTGCAAAGGATTCTGAGATCTTCTGTTACCCAGTTCTGTATCATGGGCATTCGTATGCTTGTTGTATCTCTGTAGAAGATCTGCATTCCTGTGTTATTTATCCCATGTGTATTTGTGCTTCCTCTAATATGTGGGCATTTGTATCTACCAAGCATGGTTCTAAAAGCCTTATGCATGTGAAATAATTTAGCTCTCATAATGACTCTAACTGTATCCCCACTTTACCAAAGACAAAATTGTGATGGGGAGAAGCTGAATAACTTGCTGAGGCTCTGTAACCAAGAAGCAGCAGAGCCAGGATGCAAATTCACATGGTCTGGCCCCGGAGTCCATGTTCTTAACCACCACTGAATCCACATGCATCTTTGTTACTGGTGATCTTGGTATTACAGCTTGGATTTAGCTGATGTCTTAGAACTGAATCAAAGATTAAGGGTCAGAAATGTCAATGGTAGGCAGAGTTTGTAAATGTAACTTGATGTCAGGAGCTGATTCCCAGGAAGTTGCTATGAAGCAAAGAGATGGATTCGTGGTATGTTTTTCCTACTTGTTCTTTTTTTTTTTTTCTTATTCTAGTACATGGGCTGTATTGAAGTGCTGCAATCAATGAGGTCATTGGATTTTGGAATGAGAACCCAAGTTACAAGGTAAGAGCCCCCCAAATGGAAGGGGCTTTGAGGACTGTAGTTTAAAGTCACAATCTTTTCTTTTGCAGGAATTTCATGTAAGCCTTCAAAGTTATTATGGTTTTTTTATTCATATGGCTAGGAGGTAGGACATAGCCCATTGACCTTGGATGAGTAGCTTTTATCTAGCAGGTGAAGGATTTCCCAATTATGTGGCAGAGCATCTGTGTTTCATCTGAGGACTGAGAAGATGATGCAGCCTACCCAAATATCTGCTTCCCACATACCAAAAGTATTTAATATTATGCCTGGAAATAGGAGATTGCAGAATCTCAGACCTGTCAAGGAGATAGTAAAAAACAAGACCAGGCAAGAACTTTTGACATTGGAAAGCCCAAGATCTCCCCATTTGTACCATCCTTGACTTGAGAACCTACCTATTCCTTGACTGGGTCTCTTTCCTCTATGTACAGTGGACTGGATGGAAGAATTGAACTGGAGGAGCCTGCCCCAGGGTGGCTCTCATTAACTTAGGGGAAGAAACCAGAATCCTTGTTATGCAGAGCTTGAGTTAGGAGCAGAAACACAAAGCATGGTTCATTAATGTCAAATTCACAGTGAGGGTAGAAAGAAGAGTAAGGGAGTGCTGAGACTAGTAACTGGAGAAATTTTGAGGTGAGGGAGATTGAGGTGGGAGGACTGGATTGATACGAGTGGTTTAGAATGAAGATGGAGGCCTCTGTTGTATGTGGTGCCAAATGTGTCTCAGGTGCAAGCCCCAGTGCCTTTCTGGACCCAAGGTTGCAGACCCCCAGTTCTGAAGGTGAATTTTCTCATTGTGAAGAGCAAACAACTTTTCCTAATGCTCATCCCATGGAATTCTAGGCCTAGAAAATGTGTCCAAGAAATGTGCTCCCAGAATTCCTTTTTCATATAGTATAAATGACTATCCCATGTATTCCTAGGGTTCCATGGAATGCACTTGAGGAAATGTGGATTGGGACTCTTTGGCTGATGGCATTCAAAGCTGTCTTTCCAAACTTTTCTTCACCCTTGGTGTTCCCTCTGGAGTCAAAGAAATGAAATACATTCTTGTTCTTGGTACTCTTCATACCTACCTCAGTTGCTGGCCAATGGCAGACGCTCAGTGGATATTTACTGGATAAATGCATAGCTTTGCCTGCTTACACTTCTAGTGTTTGGAGGAGGCTGCAACATTTCTTTTCTGCCTTAAGTCTACTCTTTTACCTTCTCAGCCCCTTCACTTTCCTTCAGGAGACATGGTTTCTAGATTACTTCCTACCCCATGAGCCCACTTTGGACATAGTTCAGGTTTTCTTTCATGCTGATGATTCTTAATCTGGAGAAAACCCTTCCTTCAATCTCGAGCAGACTTCATACAGTTGGGAGAAAGAGGGCTGAACTCCCAGGTGCCCGGAATGGGGGGTACCGGACAAAGGAGTGCCCGCTGCCCTACCTGAAGTCAGAAGACTCCAGAGACCAGTGTTCTGAGGACCTTATCCATGGCAGGGCTTGAAAACAGTGGAGCTGACTTCTGTATGCCAAGGGCAAATGTCAGTCTCCTTGCTTCAGAATCATGTGCTCTAGGCCACCCTTCCTAACTTCCTGAACCATTTCCCTGGGGCTTGTAGAGTTTGAAATGCTGTGTCTCGTAACTCCTTGCATGTGGCAGCAGACCTGGGACCCCTTGACCCTGAAAGGAGGAGGAGAAAAACTACCAAAATGTTAGATACAAGAGAAAAGATATAAAATAGGTTATCTCGTACCATAAGAAATTAGCAAAAAATCTGAATTTACTGAACAGAAAAATTATCATTGCAGAATTCACCTTTGGGTTCCTTTAAGTAGTGAACTCCTTGCTGGCATTTGAAATAAAAGTTGGTATGCAACAAAATTATTTTTGTATTTTTTCCTGGGAGCTCACTTATTTCTGAAAAGAAAGGGTGATCCTTAAAATCTTCTTTGAAATTTTAGATCCTATGGGATAGTCTACAGGTGGATATAAGTTTGGGTGTTAAAACACAAGGGCTCCTTTCTCCACATATGTTTTCATAACTAGATGGAGTGTTTTGTTTGAGTACAGGATCTTTAGGCCCTCCTTTGACCTTGACATTGGATGGGCCCTTTCAATAAAGTGTGTATCTCAAGGCGAAGTGAATGTTACTGCTCCCGAGGAAATGATTTCATTGTTGTTATGTGACCAGGATAAGTATGTGGTTCACTTTCCCTCCAGCCTATTTGCCACCCTGCTTGCCAAATTTTTACTCTTTTTTTTTCTTTTTTTTTTGAGACAGAGTCTCACTATGTTGCCCTCAGTAGAGTGTGGTGGCTTCACAGCTCACAGCAACCTCAAACTCTTGGGCTTAAGCGATTCTCTTGCCTCAGCCTCTTAAGTAGCTGGGACTATAGGTGCCACTACAATGCCTGGTTATTTTTTGTTGTTGTTGCAGTTGTCATTTTTGTTTTAGTTGGCTGGATTCGAACCTGCCAACCTCAGTGTGTGTGACCGGCGCCCTACCCACTGAGCTATGGGTGTCACCCAAATTTTTACTCATCTTACTTCTCTTTCAGTTTTCCCTTTTTCTCTCTCTCTTTTCTTCCTTCTCCTTCTCTGTATTTTTGATGTTCAACCGCTGTTCAAGTTGTTTTACTATCACTTGTCCTCAATGTTATCATGAATCAGTTTTCAATTTTTTTTTATTTTAAAATTTCATGTATTCATAAAGTGTCTTCATTTAGCTCATAGTCCTTTTTAATTCAATAAAGAAGTTTCAGTGGACAAGTTAGGATTCCAAAGGGAAGAACTTTATTTTGTGTGATCACAGCTATCTCCAGACATGTACCAATGCACATAAGAGCACACAGGTGTGAATGCAGATAAATTAGTGTAACTAATTGCTGCTACCCATACCCAGCAATTGGAGGCTAATGTCCCATCCATGGTAAACATCTCACCATTTCTATGTTCTAAATAATAGGGACATGACAACATAAAATTCCTGGTAATAAAGGAAGTGTTATGATTAAGATACACCAGTGGGGTCAGCATTTTGAAATGGGAGAAAGAGAAAGTAGAATTTTTGTCTTTGTGAGAGACCTTTCTGCCAACTGTTTAGGGGCTGAATCCACAGACCGAGAACACAGAAAGTGCTCAAATAAGAGCAGGAAGAAAGAAAAAGGCAAGAGGCCATTCACTTTCTGAGCAATTGCTCGGACTGCATCCCTCTCAAAGCTCTCATCACACTTCTCCACCTTAGTCCCTGGGGGAGCCCCTGTTGTTTCTCTCCTAATTCTCACTCAGGCATTCATCCCCTTGGCTGATTCTGGACCAGATCTCAATTTTTAGTAAGAGAATATTCATACAAAAGGGCACAGGAAGAGGTTTTTCCCGACAGGAAAGAGAAACAAGATCATTAGGAAACAAAGGTTCATAGCCACAGTTGTCTTCAAAGTGTCTGGAACGGTATCAAAAGGACAGAAGAGAAGGGGGAAAGAGAAAATCACGCTAAGAATGATGCAGATTTTCTTTCTTGTAGTTTTAGAAACAAAGTTAAAGAAACTAAAAGACCCTGACCTAAGTTGGGGTGGGGTTGGGGGATGCAAACACATAAACACACACAAATCTGGTGGCTAAAATCCTAAGCCTAGCTTCCCTCTGGTGAGTACCCACCCACATCATTCTAAATCTTCCCTCTACCCCTAAGGATGCCTCCTCCTTTGTGTCTAGCGAGGAACCTGCCTCTGACACAGAAGGAGGAATAGACACATCAGGGTAAACCCCGCAAGTGGGGCTGGTGGGACAGGGCTTGGCATTCGACCCTGAAGAACAGAACTTTATATTTTGATCCCCAAGGAAATTGTAGAGGGGACATTTAGTTTATTGCCACAGTACATCATTTGCCACAAGGGGCAGGGAACACTGTTGGCAGGAGGGACCACCAGCTCTTTGTCTTATGAGGACACTCTTCTATCACAGCATTTGCTGCTTTACATTCATAACTCACATGTGGTAACAGAATCCACTAGGCTAACAGTGAGGCACCCAGCGCAGGGGCTGCCCATGCCCGACTCTGGGGTCAGCTGGGAAGCAGTGGCTTGGAGTAAGTTTGGCTTCTTGGTATGATTTCCATTTTGGGGGGGGGTCTATGAAGGCAAATGGGGAGCCATTAAAGAATGGGTGACAAGTGCTGTCTTTTGGGGTCCTGGCTTACCGTTGTTTTTCTCTGGCTGATCTCTAGCTACACACTGCTTTATCAATGCCATTCCATTCAGGGAGGGGCGTGGGGAACCCCAGAGTAGTGCTGCTTATTTTTTTTTTTTTTAGCTGTTGCTATAGACAGTAAGCAGGGTATGGGTTGGTTTGTTACAAAGTAAAGCAACAAGGAAGCAGAATCATAATTCAGAGGATATTGTAATTGGACTAATTTCCTGTTTGTAATGTGATTGTTCCTGAGCAGTGATTCTGCAAATTTAATTCACTATCTTAGACATTTTGATTCTTTGCCTTCAAGAGGACATTACAGGAAATTCTTTAGCAACAAATTCTTCTGTGTGTGTGTGAGCAACCATCAGGTGCAAAGCAGATCCAAGATGCTGCTGAACATTTATATAAAGGCCTATGCATGTGGTTTTGAAGAAATGTGACGAGCAGGAGAATTTTCTGTAGAGGTCAGATATATGTATATTAGGTAGCCAAAATAATATGTGCTTGTTTGAAAACAGGCTTGCATTTATCTAAATTTCCTGAGGCTTGTAGGAACAGGACTGGTTACAGCTATACATGGGTAAGTGTGTGTGTCTCCACTAAAACCTGAAGTCATTGAACAGCATATGTTATGTGGGTTCTGTGTTGACTTGGGAATGAGACCATAGAATCAGGAGTAGGAATGTAGCCTCCTGCCATGTAAAATAAAGACCTCCCCAGAGAGGGGGATAAAGGCCAAATCTATTCATTTACCAGGCGGAAAACCCTCCCCAGTGAAGTTTACTGGAAATAGTGC